TTATTATTTATTTTGTTTTAGGCTTAACAAAATGATTATTAGGGCTATTTACGTGTTTTATAACTTCTTCTAGGCCTTTTTATTTTTTATTTCCTCATAATTTTCTTTTTGATTTGTAATGTTTTGTGGACTTCTTTGTTTGGTTGCAGAGAAAGATGAAAGAAAATGAAATGACATTTCCTTATTTTGGATCCAAGAAACTACACCTGGCTGTTTCTGAGATTTAATATGATTTACAGTTTAATACTAATTGGCTTCGGGTTTTGGGTTTAGGGCTAAGGGACAATGCTTTCTATTTGGTCAGTGAGATATGATAGTAACAAGAATGAATATTTAGAACTTATGTTTAAGTTGTATTTGCTTTTGAACGATTTTCTTTTCTGGTAAGCAAGTGGAAGAAAAGACCAGAAGTTAAGCTCCAAGGAGACCAGAACTACCACTTTGTTCTATACGATTATGGTCTAAGGTTGTTATGAAACTCTAAATGAAAAAAAGTGGCTCCTTGTGATTCAAAAAGATAGGGTGCACAAAACAGAATGCTTAATGACCAATAATGACCCAACAGGGATCCCTCTATATTCTAAAAATTCTTTTGTGTTTATCTACCCTTCTTGATGGTTATTACAAACAGCCAAGGAGCATGACGGTGCATATGGCTCTTACAGTAAAAAACAAACTTGGGTTTGTTGATGGTATTGTTTAACAATCTGATGCTTCTTCACCAGATTATGCAGCTAGGCTCATTACATTACAATGATTCTTTTGTGGTTGTTGGATGCTATCTTGAAAGATCTTCATCAAGCTTAAATTTCGGTCTCTTCCTATCTCACTATGATGAAAGCCTTGTGGGATGAACTGTCTTCGTACCGAGACATTTCTTTTTTTTTTTTTGGTATCATGATCTGTCTCTTTCTATTGTTACAATGAGAGGAGTGGGTAATGTAATTTTTTATGGGTCTTAATGATTCATTTGCTGCAATGTGTAGTCCAACTCTTATTCTTGGTATTCAACAAATATGTTTGTCCTTTTGCTGTCACTTAGTAAGGTTGGCTTATTTCTGGGTGACTTTTGGGTTATTATTTGTGCAGCTATTGAAGGATGGATTGTATTAATCACTGGAATACATGAAGAGGCACAGGAAGATCATATTTTGAATGCATTTGGTGACTATGGGGAAATCAAGAATTTGCATATGAATCTTGACCGTCGCACTGGATTTGCTAAGGTAAGTTTTTTTTTTTATCTTGATGCTTTCGGACAAAACCTAGGTGATGCTCCTGTTTGAGCACAAATGGTTTTATTATATAGGATTGAAGCCTTAAGGTGTGTTTTCTTGCCTTAAGATGGTATTCAAAGTATCTTCTTTCAGATTCATCAAATGTGAAATGGTGTTTGAGTTCAAGGTCTTGCAATATGTACTTGCAAATCCAATTATCTGGATCTTTGAGGTCTTGTAATGTGTATGAAAATTTAGTTGGATCTTAATTCTTATGTTCATCATGGGAATCAAATTCTAAGATTCCCATTTCCAAGTTAATGTTTTTGCTCCTATCAAAAAGTTATTGTTGTTGTTGTGTTGATCACGATGGATATATTGGTCATCTAAAACCATAAATTTTGGCTACCTTCAGTCAGTTATGTAAGGTACTACCCACATCCTATGATTCATATCCCATCAAGTCATCATACTGTGGTTTGGTTAGGAATTTTAGGCATTATATAGACCCTTTCACATGCCTATTCTTTTGTGACGTTTTCAAATCTATGACCTGTCATTTTGCATATGTTACTTTTTTTTGCCTGTTAATAAATGTACACTTGTCCATTTGAAATTCTTCTTTTGAGGTTTAATTTTCATTGTATCCAATTGCTGAATTTTTGGATGGATTCTATACTTGATTCGTGCTTCATCTGCATGGATGCTGCTCTGTCATTCACTCGAAGTGTTTGGGTCTATAAACTATTCTTTTGGTCGGCCAACTCATGATGAAGAAATTTTTTTAGGTTCATAGTCGGGTGGGATTGGAGTACGGGTGAGGGTCAGAAATTGGTCTTCTCTTTGGGCATTAGTTTCTAGAGGATTTAAAGACATTATTCTGCAATATTTTTAGATTGGAAGGCAGCAGAGATGTAGTTCGTGATTAGAATCTCGTTTGTTGTTCATCATTAGTGTCACTTATGGTAATTTCAGTTTTGAGGTGGTGAGGTGGCTCCTCCACAATCTGTGCTGTGTTTTGTTGATTAAAAAAACTTATCTTCAAAATAAATAAAAAGAGAATGCTGGGACCATATAATTTCTTGAATATTTTTTTTTTACTCCAATAGAGGGCTTTACTTAAGAAAAGGGTCAGAAAACGTAGGATACCTGTTTATGCTTATTAATGCTAAACGATTTCAGGGTAATGCGCTGATTGAATATGAGACATTTGAGGAAGCTGATGCAGCAATATCAGCAATGAATGGAGCTAAACTTTTTGGTCGGACCATCCTTGTTAATTCGGCTTTCATGACTGGTCCCTTTGGAAGTAATTCAAGAAGGTTCGTTTGCTTTTGCGTTATGTCATTCACATCCCTGATTTTTGCTGTCCTTTACTTCTTGATTATTTTGTATGCCATGGGAATAATTTACCATGCCCTTTATTTACCTTCTATTGATATGCTCACGTAAATTCCTCTATGAGTGAAGGTAAATACACCATGTATAGTTATAAAACCCCATTGTGACATGCCTAGCAATTGTGGTTAGATGCATATTCAATCCATCAAATTGTTTTAGTTTTTCTGCATATACAAATCTCTTAGGATGCAATTGTTTAAGCAGCCGGATTTAGCTATTCTTATAAGAATTGATAGCTCCTTCCCTCTTCTCTGTAGATCACCACAATTGAACCGCTCCAGAAGTCCAAGGATGAAATACTGATTTGGGTTCTGCTTCCCTCAGCAACACTATTATACTTGTGCTAGTGAGTAGTGACACAATTTTAATATTGCTTTTATTACAAGGTGCATGTCACTGACGTCAGGCCGGGGCATTCTAACTTTCAAAAGATGTAGGCAAGAATGGAATTTGCAGTACTTACATTTTACTAATTACCATGTGTAAACGTTGAGATGGTATATCCTTAACATCCCTTCTTGTAGTTGCTTGCGTTTCGATCTGCGCTTTTAACTGATCGTTGAAGTTCATGCAAATTGCTTAGCAAATGCAATGTTGCTGTTGGAGTTATAATGCTCTGTTTCCTTTGCAATTAGGTCTAGCAGATGTCATAGTTGAGTTTGAACTCTATTCTTCATTTACAGTCGTTTTTATTTTGGGAGATTCACTATTATACCAATATAGGAGCCCAAATTATAAAATAAAAAGAGTGCTGCTAAACGAACCCTAAAATTAATTGAGTACACCCTACTACCAAACTATTTATTGAATTACTAATTTACCATAATATAAAATGACCAAAAAGGATAAATTGAATTGTGAAACAAATATAATTTTAATAAGTATACCCTACTCACCATTCAACCCTAATCAAATGTAAAGAAGTTTTCGTATTATACCCAAGGGGTTTGGTCTAGTGGATATCCTGGCTAGGCCTGCAAGTGGGCGAATGTTAGCTGGCCTCAGTGTGGTCCAGCGTTCGAATCCCACCTTGTGAAAAACGCCCCCTGGGGAGAGTCAAATCCGTTCAGGTCTACGACTCGGAGTGGTTGCTCACTTGCTATTACCAAAAAAAAGAAGTTTTCGTATTATTTGGTGCCCACGGTGAACAATGCAGCGAGCATTGGCGGAGGTGCAAGGAGGTGTCGTTAATTTTAATAGAAGCATTAATGTGGAGCATACCAATCACCCCAGAGCGAAGCTGAAGGGCCCTTGTAGCCTGAAAGTAAGAATAACCTCTCTCGTTCAATGCACTTGAAATTGTATTCCATAATTAATAAACACTTCTGTATGAATTATGTAGGAAATTAGCAAGAAGGCTGAGGCATTGGTTGGGCAACGAATCAATTTTTTTTCTCCAATAGATAAATGGTGAGCATTTTTCCAATGAAAGAGATAAGTTTTCAACATTGTTGTAGCCCTTCTTTATAACAGTATTTGATTTTTCTTTTCCAGTGTGGATGGTTATAATTCTCAAAACAACACACACTAGGTGTGAATCAATATGGCTAGTTTCAAAATACATCCTTCCTAACCTGTTACTATTAGGCATGTGATTATTGCACATCCATAACTTTCGGGAGAGTGTATTAGGGTATATTAGGGGTATTTCTGGTAGTTAAATAGGGTGTACTTAGTTAATTTTACATTTTCATTAAAATATTAGGGTGTACTTAGATCATAGGGTGAAATCAGTTAATTTTAGGGTTCGTTTAGCAGCACTCAATAAAAAAACCTATATGAAATGGACTTTAGAAACACACCCAAAGTCCATTTACAACATAACAAAAAGGCTTTTAATTTCTTTTAAATTACAAAATTGCCATAGATTTTTTAAAACAATTCCAACCCCAAAATCTCATTTAAAAAAACTCAAAACACTCAATAGGGCATCAAAGTAATTTAATAATCAAAATTAAATTCAATAAGGCCAGTTATTATTTTTTGGGTGGTTTTTTGGGTTTGTTTATATAAATTAAATGGTATTGGGTTTATTTATAGTGTTAGTGCTAAGAATGGGTATATAACTAAATATCTCTGTTTTTTTTTTACAACTGGATTATGCCGGGCCCGGTTCTGTTTCAAACAAA